GATGTCTCAGACTCACACCTCTGAACTTCATGGATGTCTCAGACTCATACCTCTGAACTGCTGCAAAGACAGAAAGGAACTTCTGCTCTATATGAGCAATTTGGGCAGCAGCTAGCAGAGACCCTAGGTGACCAGTCACTTGGCTGCTCCTTGGCAAGTGGTGGTAGGAGGTGATAGAAACAGCAGAGGTCACCCTGGTGCCCATTGTGGTCACCCTGTTGGCTGCTGTGAAACAGAGAGTTGGAAACGACAGCAGGGGGCACAAGAGAGAAGCTGGGCATCCCATGACTGTTTCAGAGCAACCCAGTGGGTACGCTGGCCAAGAATCACTAAGGACAGGCACCTTGTGCAGGAGGAAGACAGTGGTGCAGTCTGCATGAGGGGAAGACACGCAGAAGGACAGCGAGGGTGGGAACATCTCGTGAGATGTTGCTTTGCTGAACCTGAAGCCTTCACCGTTCTCTGTGTTGACTGATTTTCACCTTCCTCTCACTCCACAAACCTTTGCTAAGTGATTCCTTGTGCCAGGCAAGCACTGATCTACAAGTATGAAGTAGCAATAAAAAGACACATCCCTACCTGTGTAGAGCAGGCATCCTAGCAGAGGGAAGCAGACAAGAGAGGGAGAAAAAATAATCAACATAAAAATATATATACCATCATATTGTGTTAGTGACAGGTGCTAGGAGAGTTAGAGGGTGGAGGGGGATGGGCAGAGGGCAGGCTGGCTTCTCAGGGAGGGACAATTTGGGAAACAAACGCAGTCGCCAAACTGTGGCAGTTAAGGGCTTGTTCCAGAAGGTTGAAGGGATTTGCTCCGGGGAAACCCAAATACAGACAAAATCTGCTAACACCAGCATTCTGCGTCATGTTTTTTAAACAGAAACCCCATTTTCTCTCCTCAGCACTGGCCACCGTAGGAGCTTCGGGGGCAAGAGCCCTGAATCAGGGGAAATACTCTCTAGACAGACACCCTGGTGACAGACCCCAGCACACTCAGCTGCTCCACTCACAACTCATATTTACACATCCACACATGGACATGCTGCTGGGAGCCTGATGTGCCCCTTGAAGGGAAAGAAAGAAGTGGAATAAGGGAGAGGAGACAAGTGACCTAGAGTCTAGAGGCAATGCCTACCTAGATAGAACAAAGGAAGGAGACAGGGGAACAGGGGACAAAAGAGAACAGTACAAAGCCTGGGGGCAGGATACCTGGCCAAATTGGACCTCATTCCTAATTTGCCCCAGGGCCTGGGCCAGCCAGTCCTTTTACCTGTGGCTCAGTGTGCTACAAAGAGAGGCCTCCTGTTTATGCAGCCTGTGCTAGGGACTGGCGTCATTGCCTCTCACCCCTGGCTACTATTGGCCTGGAATCCGGTTTCCTAGAGACCTTTGTGTGTCCTCCCGCTGGCAGAAAGGTTCATTACCTCAAACCACAGAGTCAGAGGAAACGAGTGGACTGCTCCTTTCCTGGCTTATAAGGGAAGGAGGGAGGATCCATCCCTCCCTGTAAGAGGAAGAGGTGTACCAGTGCAATCTGACAGCCTGCTCTCACAGCGTGTCCTGAGGCACCTCTCATACCTGTCAATCTGTTCTCTAGGAGGATGCCCCAGTGTCCACAAGAAATCTCCCATCTATCTTCCTTCTTCACTTGGCCTCCCCTCAGATGCACCTCGGGATCCTGGCAGCCATAGCTCAACCTTGCCTCATCTCCAGAGCCATATAAGGACCTACCTCAGCCACATCTACAATCCCAGCACTCAGAAGGCTGAGACAGGAAGACTGATGTGGGATTCCCCTCTGTATGCCATCAATATGTTTTATTACCACTGGTTATTAAAGAAGCTGTTTTGGCCAATGGTTTAGCAGAGTAAAGACAGGCAGGAAATCTGAACAGAGGTACAGAGAGAAAGCAGATGAAGCCAGGGAGATACCACGTAGTTGCTGAAAGAGAAAGATGCCAGCCGCCAGATGGTAGGCCACAGCCTCGTGGCAATACACAGATTGATAGACATGGGTTAATTTAAGATGTAAGAGTTAGCTAAAAATATGCCTAAATGATTGGTCAAACGGTGCTGTAATTAATATTGTTTCTGTGTTATTATTCGGGTCTGGGCAGCTGGGAAAAGAATGAGCAGTCTCTGCCTACAGAGGACTTCCTTTAATTTCAGGACAGATACTAGGACATAGTAAGACTGTCTCAAAAACAACAAATATGTGTCTTGTCACAAGGCGGGCTTGATGGAGGTCTCATGTCACAGAGACCTTCAGTTCTATGGCACTGTGTGATTTTGACACTTTTTGTAGGTGATGGTGACTTTTCTGAAGTGATACCAGGTCAGTGTTTAAGCTCACGTGGAGTAGACAGGATAAGACTACCATACCCATTTATTTATTTTAGACAGTGAAGCTGAGGACCCAGGAGGAGGAATTTCTTCAAAAGCCAGATAAGAGTGGCAGCCAGGCCCTACCCTGTCTCCCACTTGGGCCCTGGGGCCTCTCACCTGCATTAGCTCCGCAGCAGGCTGCCGTGCCTTGCCTTCCAGCTCGGAGATGACAAGAGTCAACCGGCCAAGCTCGCTGACGCCCCGGGTCTTGAACTTCTCCCTGCCCTCGGTGAGGAGCTGCTCCAGGGTGGCCAGCTGGTCCAGCAGGTGCTGCTCCCGCTTCTTTAGAAACTGGTGGCCCTGCTTAAACTCCGCCACGATGTACTGCCTCTGCTCCTGCAGCTTCGTCTGTGAAGGCACGGGGTGGGGATGTGTGTGGGACAGAGAGCTGGGGCCCGCTCGATCCTCTGGGGACTCTGGCTTGTGACTCCTAGTCCTTGAGGTAGAAAGTCACGGGGTGTTCCCGCTACACTCTCTTCTCCTTACGACTGTCAATCAGTCCATTTCCTTCGCTGCTCTCAAAGCCAACTCTGCCTGACTGCTGTCACAGTCTGTGTGTCTTAGAGCAAAAGGTAGCCAGCGTGCCCCATTGATGATACTTCACCCTTCTAGATAGCATCCAAATGCCTCTTTCAGGAAGCTCTGTGTGAGGGATGACGTCTATGCTCAATCTTTCCCCCTCCAGCATCCCTACTACCCTGGACGCACTAAGTGCGCCCTATCCCTTCCATGTGGGGCTGGACTGTGAGTACCCAGGGACTGAGTCCTGTCCTGTACGCTGGAGTCTGCCTGAGTCCTCAGTCCCTCTTGATAGATGAGGGTATCCAAGCACACCAGGACCTAGAGGTCCTTTGTGGAGTTGAGTTCTCTCTAGCTTTAGTCTCTCTTTCACGGCCTGACCACACACACTACTAGGCCTGACCCCAGAATCCCCCCACTGCCCATTTTCCCGACACACACTCCCCCAGAACTGGATTCACCTTATCAGCTGTCCCTCCTGACCTGTCTAATCGAGAACACACAATGTGCTACCTACCAGTCTTCTGTACTGTCCAAGACAACGTCAATCAGAGCTGCTCAGACCGTCCTTGTCACTTCCTCTGTCCTGAAGCTGGCACCCCCTCCCAAACACCCCCAGCTGCTTCTCTACCCAGGAAATCACACCTTCACCCTTAGAGCACAAAGTCAGGTTCTTCAGCGCCTGCAGGGACAGGGCAGGCCAACCTTCCCCATCTTTGTGCTAGCTCCAGTTGGCCTAAAGCCAGCCTAGCACCCATACTTTCAAAGCACTCCTAGAAACACTCCCCACCTTCCTGGTCCCTCCCTGGCCACATTGCTGCTCAGCCATGACTTCCACATACCAGCGCAGCCAGAATATCAGCTTCTCCCTTGGCCTGAAAGCCCTGAATTTTTTCTCTGTCTCTCCTTAGGGTGTTCAGGTGGTTCAGGATTTTCTCCTGGGGAAAGACAAGCAGTGGAGAGAGATTAGTGTCCTGAGCCGGGGCAGGCGGGACACCAGACGGAACAGCCCTCCTCTCTGGCCCCAGGACTCACTCTGTGAGGCAGGGCAGCCTTCTCCACCAGGACGGCAGTGTGGGGCCGGTGCTCGCGGGACTCGCGGCACATCACACACAGCAGCTTGCCGTCGTCCTCACAGTAGTAGTGCAGCTTTTCCTGGTGACGCTCACACAGCTTTATGTCCTGTGGCTCTCGGGCCAGCTCTCCCGGCTGCCTGCCAGAGTCCACCTTCAGCCGCTCGATGTTCTCCACCAGACTGGCGAGCTGCCACACGGGCCGGATGTTCTCCTTCTTGAAAGGCTTCTTGCAGAGCGGACACACCGGGCGGCTCCCGGATATGGGGCGGATATCACCTGTGCAGCTGCGGCAGAAGACGTGGCCACAGTCGATGGTCACGGGGTCCCGTAGATAATCCAGGCAGATGGAACAGGTCACCTCTTCCTCCAGGCTCCTCAAGGGGGCTGAGGCTGCCATTGTGCCCTTAGATTAGGGGGCGGGGGCGGTCTCTGTTCCCTGGTAGGGTTTTTCTTCCTCAGAGACCAGACCTGAAATCAAGAGCAGACTCAGCAAAAAGGAGAAGAGCGGCATCCCTGCCCAGGATTGTCCAAGCTGAGATCACAAGGAAGCCAAGAAGGAAGGAATCTTCTGTGGCTGTTCTGGGCTGTGCAGGCCTGGCCCTTCTAGGGACACAGAAGCTCAGCCTCCACAGCTCCAGTCTTCTTCCTACCCCTGTGACAACAGAACTCATTTGAGTATTTTGAACCTCAGCTTATCCATAAAATGGAAAGAGAGAGAGAGGCCTACCAGGGATTCTAAGCAGGTGATACAAAAGAATTCTGCTGGGAACACTAAGCATAGGCCTGGTTCCTAGAAGGAAATCGGGGAGAGAACCGAGGAGCCTGGCTCCTCAGTCCACTGGATGAAACTGGAAGTGGCGCCAGCAATGCCGGGTCCTGCCTCACTTGAGATACACTATGCCCATGCTGGGCAAGGAAGGTGGCTCTGCTACGGACGCAGGGAAGGTAGCCATGCAGGTTCTGCAGTGCTGGGACAGCAACACTATCACTAATGGGTACAATAAGAGCCATCAGCAAAGCTCGGCAGACTTTACAGAGCTCAGAGACGGTAAATACAGACACAGACAGACAGACACAGACAGACACAGACAGACACAGACAGACACAGACATAGTAACTGCAGCCCATATGGCCCAAGGAGACAATGCAATGTTGATTCCCTCAGGATCTGGTGTGAAAACACATAAATGTGCTCCGCAGGGGACAGAACTATACAAACATGAGGATTATACTGCAGAGAATATGAACCAAACACCCTGGGTTTAGGCTCTTAAAAAAAATATAATATAAAAAATGTACATACCACTCTGAAATGAAATTCAACTGGCAAATGAAGATGGATCAAGTCCCCAGAATGTTAGCAGAAATGTTGATGGTGTCTGATTTAATCCCTCGGTTTGCTTTTGAGGGCCGACCAGTGTTCTCAGTTTAACCCACTGCAGAGGGTTTGATAAAGGGAAGGAAATGGAACCGTGGGGCTCCTAAAGTCTTTTCTAGTCACTTATAGAATGGCTTGGAAGTTTAAAAGCCTGGCCAGCTTTTTGTTATTTTTGTTTTTGATGGAGAGAAGGGGTAGCTCGAAGGACAGAATTTACAATTTCCTATGAAGAGCTCAGCTACAAGTCTTCCACATAAAATATGACGCCTTCACCACGAGAAGTCCACATTAAGCCAGTTCATGCTGGGCCCAGTGAGTCTTTAGATCTTTTTAAGCTGAATGAAAACTATGCTGTTCATTATAGTTAACACCGCAGGGCTTACAGAAGATCACTGGGTAATTGCTGGAGAAGGGTTAACAGAATCAGGAATCAGATACTGAGACACAGCCAAGACAGCACCTGATTAGTGTTGTTCAGAATTAGTGAGGCCCCCCTGGGGCTTCAAGGGAGTGGGGAGACAGTGTAAGCACTCAGCAGCTGCCACTATAACAACACAAACGTCACCAGACGTCAAGGCCATTAGGTGAAAGGTTTGGGGCAGCCCCTACAATGCCACAGTGAATTATTTCCTAATGCTTTACTTTAGGAGAGATCCTTGGTTACCTTTAGTTAAGGAACCAAGCAACCAAACCGGTCTTGGCATAAGCAGAAAAATCTGGCATAGGTTGATGAGGAACTTTAAGAGTTAAGCACCGTCACTTGGGGCTGGAGAGGCGCCTCAGCTGTTAAAAAAAGAAAGAAAGAAAGAAAGAAAGAAAGAAAGAAAGAAAGAAAGAAAGAAAGAAAGAAAGAAAGAAAGAAA